GAATCTTTTCAGCTTCCCAGACACATACTCCGTTCCCAGTACCTTCAGACTTAAAAGAAGATCTGCACTACCTTGGGCTGCAGGACACAATTTCATTATAGCCACAGGCTTTAATGTGGGTGAATAATTCCCGTGATCAAGCTGCTCAAGCTTTTAGGATTTGACAAGCATATTGATGAAAATATGAGAGACAAGAAAGAAACAGCCAGCCACGCAAAATATCCCTGTAACTCTGCTGTCATTATTAGGTGACTATGTTACACCAAATATTTATGCTTCTATATGATTCAGGACCATAGAAAATAAATATCTCTTTTATGTGTTTTATTTTCTTTGGAGATGGAAGTAGAGGAGAGTGTGAGTCATAGTGGAAGAACAAAATGTGTTTCTCTTCTGACAAAAACTGCTCATTTCACCAGAGAAGATGCTAGCATTGACTTCTGTTTGCTGATAACCCCCGCAGCCCAGCTGGCTTCAAACAGGCAGCTGACAGGCTGTCAGTCCCCAGTCTGTACCTGTTTGGTGCCCTGTGGTCAGAATCCAAATCATATTTCTTAATCCTTCTATAGACAAGACAGTAACTGTTCTTATCTGTGGCTGAATACAATCTGCCTACATACCCTTGCGAAGCGTTTCTGGAGCAGAGATTTGACCCTTCGCACTGTAACAAATCCTGCCAGCTGCAGTTGTACTTCTGAGCACAGGGCTGATCTGAAGAATTTGTGAAGGTTAACGTGAATATTTGTTAGTGTATGACCGAGGTTACTTGTATGTTTAAAAAAAGAACGAATTTTCTGGTATGAGCTGATTCAGAGGATTCTGTTCATAAGCAATTCAGAAAAGAATTGCTGTGGTGTGCAGTGCTCCTGAGGAGGCCGTCTGTGAATCATTTCTTTTTCTCACATCTTGTTGTGCCCTCCAGAGTGTAGATAAGATAGGAAAGGAGCAAGATGCAGACTCTTTTCTCCCACAAGGCCCACAGGGCTGAGGCAGTGCAGGATCAGGAGCTGCAGCTGTCTGTTCAACAGTTCTCGCTCTTCTGAGGCAAGGGAAACTTGTGTATGGGGCAGAAGTGAGCTTCACCTTGCTTTTGGGTGAGGAAAAAGGAAGGATCTAGATCCTTATGTAGGCTTTCTTTACAACTGCTAATCTTGGAATGTTTTCCTAAGAATGACTTTTCAGGTAGAGTGAAAAGGTTGGAGTCCGAGAAGTGGCAAATCCCAGAGGCTTTTATTTATGTCCTGATGAAGCTTATTCCATATGTACAAATTAATATATTTAACTAATGATTCCTTACAGCACTTCATGAGACAGGAAAGTATCTGTTTCATTCGTGAAGGAATTTACACATATGTGCTTCGTGCTGCAGAGGAGTTTTTGCCAAGGCCAGGCAAAGGTTAGAGAGGTCCTTTCTGCACACAGTCCAAAACAAAATGCTCATGATATCTTCCAGATATTAAGCTGCTTGTCTCTGAGCAGAAAGCTCGTAGTAGTTATTCAAAAGAGGAACGACTTTAAATGTCTGTTGGCTAATGCAGAGGAAAACTGGACTGCAGATTTAGGCACTAGATGTCCCTAAATCCCTGGATGTCTCCACAATTGAGAGACCTGCAGTTGTCATCTTTCTGAAAGGCTAAATACCAGTCTTGACTGCCATAACAAGGACCGAAGACATCCTGGACCTTTTTAGTGGAATCCAGAGTCAAGCTTTCTGTAATCTAGCAAACAGATTACATCTTCCATAATGCCTTTGTAAAGAAAAGGAATCAGAGTTTCTGTTCAGTATTAAATCAACAAGACTACTATAGCGCTGGGTGGGCTCTGACATTCCAAGTCTCTCGGTATTACGGCCGATGGAAGAGAGACGAACGATGACACAGGTCTTGTGGGCAGTGAGACTTGCTCTTCTAGTATAGAAAGTGCAGGGTCCCACCAGCAAAGTTCTGTTACAATTTGTGAGACAGTCTTACAGCAAAAGTAGAGAGCCATTTGTCTGGTGAAATTTAGCAGACACTGATATGCACATTTTAGAAGAAAAATTTCTTTCTGTTTCAGAAGAGCCTTCTTAGGTTTTATTTTAGTTGTATAAATTCAGATAATACTGAAAGTGATATCAGAACAATTAATTCTAAATGCCAGTTGCATTTTTATCCTTATAGCTTTTATTATCCTTATAGCCTTATCTTTCCATTAGCTGGAGATTGCTATATATCCTTTCTGTATAGGTTTATATGTTAGCATTTACTATTTGCTACTATTAAAAATGGTGCTAATAGCTATGCCTAGTGCTTTGTATTGTAAGAGCTTGTCTTCAGGCGTTTATAATTTTGCTAACTTTACCTAGTCTGGCTATCAGTTTGCATGTCAGATGTATTTATTTGACTGAATTTTGTAAGAAACTGTAGTTAAATTATTTTTTGCTGCTTCTGTGCTGATACCTTTACGCTTTTAAGCAAGACCTTGAAATGTGCTAGGAGAATTGTAGATTTTCTGTAAGATACCAAATTATGCTCCCTGAAAAGTCTCAGCCTGCTCTAGCCTGATAAGGTTTGTTAGCGCTTGGTAGCTTGAGTCTCCAAGGATTCTGCCTGCTCTGAACATGCTCCATTTCCTGATACTCCAGCACATTGGCTATGCTGTGCTTGAAGGGCTCCTACTGTATTTGGCATGGAAAAGGAAAAAATAGCCTGACTGGAGTCTGAGGAAATGCGAATGGAGAGGAGGTGGGCAAAAGCTCAAGTGGCTGCAGATAGGGAGGGTTCTCTGCAGGATCCCTCCTTCTTTCAGTGCATAAGATATATGGTGCTATGGGGACAGATCAAGGTTAGATATCAGCCACAGTCCTCATCAGTAATCAGGATCTGTGCCACATGTGTTGAAGACGTTGGGAAGTATGTGTTGCTTGAGACAATGAACATATAATTAAAGGGAGTGTCAGAAGGTATGTACATAAGAAAGATAAGATATGGTTGCATAGGAGATCTTTATTCTTTATGTCGTTCCCTAATTTTAGGTAGTTAATTTTGCAAACATGTTCAGTCATGTTTAATGTAACTATTCATATGTGTAGTGTGTGAATTATACAGCTATAAATTATACAATTACAGGAAAAAAGAGCTTCAAGAGGTGTACTCTCACCTCCTGCCTCAAGGCCATATCAGCTTGAGCTTGTAGCAAGCTTGGTGGGTGTTTGTTTAACCTATTTTTAAAAAACTCTAGGAGATGGAGACTCTTGAATTTTCCTTAGCACTTTATTCCAGTGATTACCTATCCTTACTATTAAAAAGTTTTTCCTAGTGTATGAACTCCATCTTTCTTGCTGCAATTATTTCTTGTCTTATCCACAATGGAAATGCAGAACAGGTTATTTCTTTCCTCCTGCAACAACCACTTAAATATTTGAAGACTTTCATCATATCTACTCTCATGTTCTGTGGACCAAAGTTACTGTTACATTTTTTCCACATAGGTCACATTTTTTAGAACTCACACCTTCCCCGTTGTTCTCTTCTTGGTTTTCTCGAATTGATCTAGGTCCTGCTTGAAGTGCAGTGCTTGGTACTGGAATCCATACTTCAGAAGAGGCCTAGTAATGACATGGGAAAAAAGGGATATATCACACACTGTCCTATATATCACTTTGCCAGCAGACTTTCTTGGTTCAATTTCAGTGAAACGACCATAAAAATTAAATTGTCTCAATTTTTTTAATCATAAAATGATATTCATTGCAATACTGTAAGTCCTAATAAGAATTTTTTACTTAGTCTGAATTGTGCTAAGTAAAGAGTAAAAGGAAGACTTCCCTAATGTTAAAAATAGACCATAGAATACAGACTAAAAAATAAATTGAAAACAAACTAAAGAGTTAATAATTTTTTTTTTCTCCACAGAAAACATAAATCTTTCAACAGAAGCATAATCTCTTTTGCCTACGCTTATTGAATAAGCAAATGAATGAATAGTACTTGAACTAAGATAGATAATATTGCACATGTAGAAAACTCATCCTCAGATTTCGACCACTGTAAACTGATAGGGATTTCCCAGAATTAATACATTTAGATCAGAGCATTCATTCGTATATTTTTCTTTTAATATTAGTGACATCTCCCTCCATTAACACAGTCATTACAAGCTCAGTGTTTGTCATCTAGTGTAAAAATTATCCTTTTGCATTCACTGTGGAAAGTTAGCTTGAAAGAAGGCCTCTGTGGAAGCAGAATGCAACGTTTTATCCTTTCCTTCAATACATTTTTCATGCTTTGAGTTTGTAGAAAAACTAAAACAAAATAGCAACAAAAATCACTATTGCAGTTTGTCAAAGAAGGGGTTAAAAAAGTGGAATCTTTGTGACTGTGAAGAACTGAATTATCTTACTGACACCAGCAGGGGTTGCTGTCACTAGTTGTGGTTGTCACATTCCTGTTATGCTTGACCTTGGAAAGGCTTGACAACATAGTCTGGATTTGATTAAGGGAATTTCATGTTTTTCCTTTGCTAGAGTCACCCCCCACCTCGACAAACATTTAAAAATGTTAAGAAAAAAAGTTTGGAAAGCAAACATTTTCCCAAAAGAAATTTATAGTTCAAATTTACACCAAGTTCGCACTAACTGGAGCAGTCCGGGTTTCCACTCAGGCTTTGAGTGCTCTCTGTAAACCATTAGTCACTTCCCTGGAAGAGGCAGCTTTTTATAGGCAGCAGGATAAAACAGGCACAGATGTGTGTGTAATATTAGAGGCTTTCACATGTACCTGCATTTTTTCCCTGAAACATAGAAAAGAAAAAAGAGTGAGTATAGAAAGAAATAAATTAAAGTCTTGGAGCTGGTTTGGTTTTGGACAGCTATAATGAAAAGTGGCTTAATTAAAGGAAAGTATTAACATCTTTGATGTATAAAATCTTATTGCATTGTGGATTTTTGAAATTGTGGCAATTTATATCATGAAGATATAAATTCTTTTAATTTGTAACTATTTTTTTTTTCCTCTCTACAGGACTGTGATTATGCCTGCTGCCAATGAGTTTGATCCAGAGATTGTCCTAGTATCAGCGGGATTCGATGCTGTGGAAGGCCATGACCCTCCACTAGGCGGGTATAAAGTCACAGCTAAATGTAGGTATTAAGTCATAAGGTGCACATTTCTGGGCTGGCATCCTTTCCAGTTATGAACCTTATTTTCAGTCCACATTATGTACATATTTCTACTTTGTGAGATTACACATGTGTAACTGAAGGCAGAGAGTGTCCATTAATTAATATTCATAGATAGCCACAGTACTCTGGGGTCCCATACAGCTCATGGAGCAACGCGGAAATGAACACGTTAGCGTTGCTGGCTCACTCCTTTCTTTTCCTTTTGGCATTTTTATCTTGGCTTTTTAAAGTATTACTTTTCTGGCATTCAAATAACATTTCAGAGGTTTCATGCTTTTCAATAGGCCCCATTTTCCAAATGCTGGAGTAAGTTATTTTTCTTGAGAAATGTATTGGAGTTTTTAAACTTTGAAGGCCTAAATCCAATCTCATATTACTCTTTTGTTGTAATTTGTTCAAATCAATGGCATTAATCCTGAATTACATAAGTGTGCATGAAGGCCAAAATTTTCTAAAAAGACTACTTTGTTGGGTGTCTCAGTGTTTGAATGTCCATTTTAGTTTTCCAGAAAATGTATTCAGGGCAGAGACTCAATGCTTTCTAAAGGACAATTCTATTTGAGGTGTCTCATACTTAGCACTCTAAAGTCACTAGCTCTTACTGGATATTGTGACCAAAATGTTTGTGAACACGGGGTGTTAAGCAAGATGGGATAATGTAGTAACAACCTGTACTTGCTGTGCAATGCAACATCGCTATATATAAATCAATTTCCATGTGGTGACACAAAATGGTTTCCTAATTCAGTACTGTGCATAATGTTCTTCAGTATGTATATTCTCAAGAAATACCATAATAATGGTATAAAAATAGATATAAAATATTGATCTTTGCTGCTAATGACAAATGCCTGGGGAAAAGTTCAGGGAAGTCAATAAGAGTGAATGGCATTTGACACCATGCACAAATGGACCCCAACTCAGAGGGCTTTTCTCCTTCTGACCCTCCGCCTTTTATTCTGGGTCATTGGAATGAAGTTGGCATGTTTCCATTTAATTCAAGAGGAGTAGGGATGAGCGATATATATTTTATTTTCATTTTAGCTGCACAATTTACACTTTCCTCTGAATACCAAGGGATAGATGAAGAGCTAGACTGAGGGTTCATACTGGTGTGCTGTGGAAAGGGAGAATGCAGAGAGTAGTGCAAGGCCTCACTGAACCACACTCACAAGGGTGCTAATTTAGAAATGGAAAGGGAAGAAAATGTCTCTGTGGCTTGGAGTAATATGCATTTAGTTTCTGCACAGCTTTTAAGGCTCATGCAGTGGTTGCACTAGAGAGGAAAGAAACACTGTAGCCCAAGTCTGAGGATCAATTATCTATGTATTTCAATTTTTATTCAAATGTTGTGCACTGAAAAGCCCTTTGTGAAAGGCTTCTCCGTAGGCTGCTCATCATTTTTCTTCATCGATATGGTTCCTGGTTAGAGGCATCAGTTTGTGAGCTTATATGCCAGGGAAACGAGCTTCCAAGTGATTAAAAATAGTTATTTTATAGAGTAGCACTGGACATTTGTCTGCAGTCAAGAATGCATGCTTAAGGGACCATACCTGGTGTTCTGGCATAGCTTGCCTACAAATTGCAATGAGCTTCATATTTTCTCTCAGGATAAACTGAATTTCACCATGACAGCAAAGCACTCTGTGCTTTATATTGGAAATATCTCAGGCTAATTTTCATTTGTGAATGAATTAATAAACTCTTCATAGCTTTTCATAGAGTCTGAAATGATAGTAGATTTTTTAATCTAAGAGACTGTACATCTACTAGTTGCACACGTGTCTATAACCAAAAAAAAAGATGATTTACAGTAGGTTGCTCTTGTTTATATTAAGGAAAAAGCCCAGATAGACCCAGATAATGATCGTGCACCTGAGGGATGAATAAAGCCTTTTGTACAGAGCCAAAGGAATTTATTATTTCCCCAAAATAAAATTCTCTACATTCCACCATACCTCCTCAGAACATAACATACTATATGTGGTATGTAGAAAAATGATATCTAAAGAGAAACATTCATCTTAAAGACTACAAATAGCTATTTATGCAAATTTGTAATATAATTCATTGTAAGAATCATAAATTATACCCTAAGCAAGTGAATGTAAAGTGAAATTTTAATGTGCGAAAATTCTTTCTTTATAAATCTCTAGCACTTTGTGCACACTTAAAATATTGGATTTTCTCATTTCTGATGACCCAGTTCAAACTTTATACATATAAATTAGGAAAACAGAAATCAAAGGAGGGAAGCTGGGTTCCTAGCTACTAACCTTGCCTGTTAAAAAGAGTTAGAGAGACGCTAAATTCTTGATAAGGAATTATTTATGTCTTCACTTAAGAGTACAGTCACAGAGAAGAAAAATTAAAAAGTATTAACTAATCAGTATTCCCCAGTCATAAAGTTAAAACCGTAGGATGAAGAAGACAGACTGGACCAGTTACAGTCTTAGAGTAACCATATAGAAAGCAATGGAATTGCATAAAGAATAACTTGGTCCATTACTTCCATTCAATTTGAGAGGTGTAAATTATAACCTCTCTTAACCCACTATTTTAATTTTTTGTTTTATTGAAATTATGTTCAATATGGTTAAATGATCATTTGTGGTTTCTTAATACTAAACAAATACATCAGCAACAGAATATCCTACATATCTTTGCAGCTGGCTTCAATGCAGTGTTAGGCTTGATGTGCGAGTCAGACTTTCTCAAAGTGAGATGATCTTCATCTCCTCTAGCAGAGTGTGGTGTGGAAAATAGTCAACAGAGAGCAATGATGGTAGTAGAGATAGAAGATATCTCACTTGCCTAATTTATTTCCAGTCACTATAAGTATATAAATCACTAAACTTTTTTTCTGTGTTGAAAAAAATAGTGTTTAAAAAAGATTGGAAAGGAGGTTTGAATCTATCCTTTCCTTCTGCACTTTTCAAATTTCTTTCCCAAACTTCTCCAGCTGGCCTTTACCATTCCTCCTTGCCTGTTGATTTTATTGAGGAGAAAGTTTTTCGCAAGTCCAATGAATATTTAACTAACTTTTATCTGGCCTCAAAGTAAGAATGAGAATTAAGTAAAAAATTTCTTTCATCTCCAGCCTTGACAATTTATCAGATGCATTTCTTTTGGGTTACCTCTTTTTAGCCTTTATTCCAATCCCTTTGCTCAATGAAGTGCTATCATTTGAAAAGGCACTTATACATATACCTATGCACATACCCACACAAATAAATACAACTCGAAACAGATACTCGCGTCCATGTGCATAAGTTTGGTGGTGTATTTTATAATTTATTAAGAGCAAAATGAACTTTGAACACTTGAGATGACTAGTGGCATATGGAGGAGTTCACTGCTGCCAGAAAGGTCTTAGGCCTTTGGTACCAGCTATATTCCCAATATCTCAGTAGGAAAAGGCAAGCTTTATAGGCAGTATCTTTTATTAGACCACCTCGCATAACTTGAGATGGTAGATAAACTTATGAATGCACAAACCCTTTGTCCTGAAGAAGGTCTTCCTAAAAAAGGTGCTGTGCCTGAAAATGAGTCACTTTTTCCAGTGCTAGCAGTTTTTCTGATAAAAATATTTTCTCCACTCACAATCTTTGCCTTCCTGTGTCCTTTGGCCATCATGGCTACACCATGTTTAACATGAGAAGGAAAGGAGAAGAAAGAGAGGTTATTGGTAGTGTAATATGGCTGTGTCATATGGCAGTTTAGCTCTGTCAGGTAGTCCTCCTGGCCTACTATGTGGCATCAGTGATAGCTGTCACCTCCTACTCGTGAGCTTCTCTAACTTCTGGAAGGATCTGGCAGCAGATTATCAGGGATCCTCCAGCAGCTTATCTCAGATATTTCTTTCTGCTACACCTCTCTCATGAGTCAAACTTAACTTCTCTAACTAAAATAATTAGGGGGAAAAAGGAGCTATTTGTGTCAGTCAAGTCCGTCCTTGTATTGGCATAGCTGCATCAATGCTGCTCGGTTAAACTGGTTGCTAAAGGCTCTGTGAAGAAGCAGGGTGCACCAGCAGGGACTCTCTAAGGGCTCCACTGGTACTTTAACCACAAGCTGTCACATCTCTGTGGAGTTGGCAGATCTTGGGATGCAGCACTAGCTACCAATGGTGCTGCTTGCAAATGCGTACACAAAGGACAATATTCACCACTGATGTAAAATGGGACAACTAAAGTCATTACCAGTTTTTCTCAGCTGAGAATCTGCTTTAAAAACTTGAAGAACATGATGCAGCATATCAACATAATGTAACAAGAAATAAGATAGCAACATAGGCATGTCCTAATTACATGTTAACAGTGTTTACAGCATACCCCTCAGTAAGTACATCTGTGAGTGTACATACATACTTATTTGCTTTACTCTTAAAAAACAATATTTATTTCTGATTGTTCTGAGAAACTAACTCTTTTTACAATTTGTAATACTATAAAGACGTAAATTTGTGTAGTCTTATATATTATCCATCAGTATCCTTCATCATCTAAGCTTTATTTACTGTATTATTATAGATGTTTCACTATTTTAATCAACACTCAGTGAAAGAACTATTGAAATGAGAATCATCTATACTATACTTTGCATCTATATTATTTTTGATCTTCATACAGAGTGACTATTGATATCATTGAGAGACCTTTGTTCAGGTTAAGGACTAAAAAGATACTTTAATTTTAATCTAAAGTATAATCTAAAGTTTAATCTAAAGTCAGTTTCTGACTAACCTAGTATTTCCTTTTTATTACTAGAATAGCACTAATTTATTTAATAAAGCACTAGGTAAAATATCAGCACAATATATTAAATACTATGAAAGCAGCTGTATAAAATCCACTTTTTGAACTGGAGTAGTAAAAAATTGTATCAAAGAGAAAATATAAGAAAAATAATGAGAAAGCAATATAGGTAGTAAAAGGATTTTACATTTGGAATAGGAA